GGCGGCAAAGAGGCTTAAGACTCATTTGATGGCCCTCATGCACACACATCTGTTTGGTCGTGTTTCCCCCAGCAAAGTCTATCATTCAAACCCAAAAGGTTGATGTGTATCACAGCGGGATATTCCAAAGGCTGCTTGTAGGCAATTGCAGGCTGGATTGTTTCTCTCTGCCTAGAGATTCTGACAGGTCAGAAGAAGGAAACAGGATGCATGTATAACTGTATTTTTTGCACTTTTATTTTATATATTTTTTAAAGCGGCATCAGAATTGACTACTGATGTCCTAGGCCAGGTGTTTTTCCCTCTGTTTATTGCTGAAAGTGTTCAGAAGCCCAAATCTGGGCTCGGACATATAATCCTGAAAATGCTGAGAGCTCTTTTGTGCCTGTGGTTCTGGTTTAGATCCTGACAAGCACAGATGCTCACTACCCTGTGTGGCTCTGGGTTCAAACCACTGTCTCCGAGTTCTCCAGAGAGTCTTTCCTTCCAGGCTCTCATTGGGTTTTGTACTTCTGCTTGCAGCTGTCAGGGCTGCATTTACAAAGTTCACGCCATGAAAGTTTTTGCTATGTTTCATGTGCTCTCTTTTCATCCCTCCTGCACTCATGTCCCAGCTGAGGACCAGGGAATAGGATGATACCCGTAAAGCCCTGGCAATCTGCCTCTTTAAACACCCTGAGCACTCTCTGTTAGAAACCACCTTCGTTGTTTCTTGTTCCGAATTGCTGGGTTGTGCTGTGTGCCATTACAATATTGCCTTGTCTCCGCAGTGAAGCAGTTGCATTTAGTGATGGGTAAAATAGCCCATATTTATAGTAGACCTTGACTCAACCTTTAAGTATTTAGCCTTGGTTAGCAACTAAGCACAAAATCTTGATGTATAAACATATAAACACACATTCTTTACGTATAGAAGCAATGGAACAAAACTTAATGGTTTTAAAATGCTTGGAGGTGAACAGTCTGGTTCAGTGCAAACTCATATTAAAACTGGCGATCAGAGCTGATGTGCTGAGGTTAAGCTGATTTGTTACTCACCTCGCTCAGCCCCTGTGAATTCCAGCCTAAGATTCATCAAAGGGGCCTTGCTTTTTTCCTAAAAGTTGGGCTGTTGCAGCATGGTGTGTGACCGTGCTTCCTGTTCCTGCCTCTGTGTTATTGTGGAGTGGGACCTCAGCGCTTTCCAGCTTTCAAGAGTAACGTGCTCTTAAGGGATGAAGAGCAATAGGTGACATTGCTGTATGGCCTCCAGGTGCCTGCTATTCCGAGCACGGAGTCCCTCGACAGGAGCACTCGGAGAAGAGTTGCTTCTGCTCTGACAGGTTTGCTTTCTGCAGGGGCCAGGGCAGGTGACCTTCCTGCTAAGACCTGGCAATCACATTACTCAATACACATGTGTGGATTTTAAAGTTTGTGGCACATGCTCAGGAGGAGAAATAAGGCACAGGGCTTATGCACCTGGCTGCAGGTAGGTTGCTTACCTCAGCAAGCCAACAGCCAAGCAGGGAGCAAATCCTGGGAATCACCTGTGGCGTCTGGAAAGCATTGGCTCCATTTTCTGAGCTACTTCTTGCCTGCATTCATAGGAGGAAGCTCTGTGTCTCTGTTGACCAGTGAGCTGAGGGTTGGGGGATTTCCCTAAAATCTCCTCTGTGAGATTTTATGTGAGATTTTCCCATCACTTTCTATAAGGATCTCTCATGGTCTCCATCTGCCAGTCTGTCCTCATTCCTTGCTCCCAATTTTAGGCAGCAATGCTGGAGTCTATCCCCTTGACTGAGCTGCTGCACTCTTAATTTTCAACAGGCCCTTATTGCTCTTGCACCTTGTGTGTGGTCTTTGAATGTTATGTGGCTCGGCAGCTGGGAATAGTGAGTGGGTGGGCAATTTAAAACAGAAAAGACTCTGTATCAGCGCAGGGCTGAGGTTTGAACTCTGCTCAGCTTTGGATATGTGTAGCTGGTTCTCAGGGCTGTGATTTAAGTGCAGTTTTGTTGGTGTCAGTGTGAAACTTAAATCAGTGTTAAGAAGCTTGTAGGGCAGAAAAAACAAACTTTACTTGTCTGATAACGAGTGTTAATCTTGACCTTGCTGAAAAAACATAGGACCAAGGCATCCTAGAATTTGCAGCTGGCTGGTTTGTCACCATTTTTCCTCCCCAAATCAAAAGACAAAAGGTGCCTAGGATGATGCTAAGGCTTCCCTGCTGGAATATGTTTCTGAGCTGCTTTCTTGTCATTTAAGGCATGATGTCGATTATGAGTTTAGTACAAATTGGGTGTGTTGATAGATGAGGACAGGCAAGAGGGTGGCAGCACGTGGCACAAAACATTTCAATGGGTCCATCTAAATATCTGCGAAACAGGCTGAGGTAAAGGCACTCACTTGGCAAAAATTAATCTCAATGCCTGATAAAATGTTGAACTCACAGAGCCAGATCCTCAGCTGCTTCCTCCTTCCTTTGGCTGTCGTTTTTGCCAGTGGAGGATCAGATAGAGTGGAGGTTGTGGAGGAGACCCTGCTTTCCATGTGCCTGGATATGTTCCCCTGCCACACACACACACCTCTCACCTTCGCTGGGCTCCGTGCTGGCAGAATGTTCTCCTGCACGGAGGTTCATCACCTGCCGTCCTTGGCATTTGTAGCCCAGAGTACCCAGTCCTCAAATTTGCATTGTGGAGGCATTTTTTTTCCCCACCCATTTTCCATCTATCCCACCCAGGTAGAAAGGATGAGCAGAAAGAATCTTTGCCTTGATAAGATTGATAACTGAGGTTGGAACAGAGCTCCTCTCTTCTGGAGTCCATATGGAGTCCAACCCAACTTCAATCTTGTGGCTGACTCAAAAAAAAAAAAAAAATTGGCAAGTTCCTAAGCACTTTTAAAGATTTTAAAGGTTAAAGATATGGGTGATTGGCGTTCTCTTTAGAGCCTGCAGTGATATTTTATGTATTTCACCAAATTCAAAAAAAAAAAAGTGCACACTGTGCATTGGAAATGGGAGGGTAGATAATTAGAAGATTCATTTAATTTTCCAGCGCCACGAACATTTGCATCATTCATCATCACTGCACCAGGTCTTGTACTGCTTCTCCAATGATAACTAGGATTCGCCAAATATAAGCAAGAGTGAAAAGGGAAAAAGGGGGAAAATCCTTGTATTCCAGAGGCTGGCAGATTTCAAATTAACCCCAGCCAGGTCCCTGTGGGTGTCCTACCCTTAAAAATAGATGTGGAAAATCGCTGTGAAAAATGGTACTGAAACTCAAATGGGATTTACGGCCCCTTTACTTCAAGTTACATTTCCCTGCATTCCCTAATAAAAATAAATATATAAAAAAAGTACTGATGTATGACCAAAAGCCTGTTTCTGTGATGGAGTAATGCAAGGACATGAAAGTATGGCTGGGCAGTGGGAGCAGCTGGACGGGCACCATGAGTGGTGAGGGTTGGTTAGGCAGCACTGGGGAACTCACCAGGGCTACTGGCGAACAACAGGAGCCTAGCCAGCACCCGCACACGTACTGCACTTCCACGAGAAAAGCTCTAGACAGCGTTTCAGTACCAAATAATGAATGAAGTGGTGGGTTCTAGAGAGATTTGGTGGAAGAAGACTTGCAATCTCATCTAACGTTTCTAACCAAACTTCTTTTTTTTTTCCAAGTATAAGTGAACACTGTGAAAGGGCTTCGACATTTGCTCTTACTAGCAGGGTTTCTGCTTCATTCAGCTCCATGGATAATTAACTTTTTCATGGGATCCTGAAGACGCTCTTGGTTGGCAGCACTTAGACGCAGGACTTGCCAATAGCAATGTTCCTCCACATCTACAACAAGCAGGAGGACTTGAAGCAGCAACGGTGCTGACAGAGGGATGTCCCATGTTAAGGTTTCTGTCCTTTCACAGAGGACAGATAAAAACACCCAGTGGTTTTTAACTTCCAGCCTTGGAATCACTGTGGGTCAAGTTCCCTCATCCCCGCTTACTTCAGTTTAAGGTAAGTGCATTGATTTTCTCATCCTGTAGCTGCAATTCTGACCTGTGTAGGGTGGAGAGTGTGCCCAAATGTGGCTTTTCAGTCTTTATCCAGGGTTGTCCCCAAATTGCCCCGAATTCACCTTTGGATGGAGATCTGGAGGTGCCAGCGTAATAGAAAAGGCTCTTTCACTGATGCAGCCTCTCAGCAATCAAGGTCTGGCAGCAGTGGATCATTCTCTGGTTACAATTATTCAGACTATTCAAAACTCATCATGTGCAAAAAGATAACTTTTAACCCTGCATCAAGTTACAACAAATTAGTCTCACAGCAAATGCAGTGTTTTCTCTCCTGCTCCCTTACCTACAAAAAAAAAAAGAAAAAACAAAACAAAACAAAACAAAAAAAACCCCTAAATCTTGCCCGGTTGGAGGAGCGATTGTAACATCCACCAACTTAAAAAGGAACCACTAACTTTACTTTGTTCCCCAAAAGCTCACATTGGGAGGCAGCAAACTATTCTTTACTGAAAGTGTGAGCAATCACTTCTGCTAAAGGCGAGCAGGGGGGGCTCTGCTCCCTGACAAAAGCTGTGGCAGAGAAACCCGTGACGGCTCTGCAGGGGATGCCAGTGCTGTTCCAAACAGGATAGAAATCTCCTGAAACTCGTCCTAGGACGAGGCAAGTAGAAGCAGACGCAAATAATCAGAGCAATCAAACAGTTCTCCTCAAAGAGTTGTCAAGACCACCAATACGTACGCCTTGTGCCACAGGTTTGTGGTGCTGCGTGTGATATGCGTGCGCTATGGCAACCAGATATGAATCATCAGCACATATAGGCACATGCTGGCGTGCGTCCTCTCAGGTGTGAGCTGTAGGCTGCATCTGGGGTACACAACAAGCCCAAACGGTACCTGCTTGAGTGCTACCTCCAGCAGCACTGCATAGTTCAGCACACGAAGGCTGGGCTTACGTCTTCCTCGGAAGCTCCAGAACACTGTGCCTGGTGTACGAATGCCTGGACATGAAGAAGAACTTCTGCTCAAGTTCTGTGCCCCTCTTCCTTTGTAGTTTTCAGTTTAACACCCTGGGCAAGTTCTTTGTGGGTGAGACACTGCTGACTGAAGGGGCATTGTGCCAGGGCGGCACTTGGCACGGGATCTTCAGGGATCTTCAGCGTGGTGGCTGGGGTTCCCAAAAGAGCTCAAGGGAGAAGGGTAGGCACCCTGTTCCTCTTGTATTTGGACACCAACCTCCTCTTGGCTCATGAGCATCTCTGCAATGCCCCTGATGTCCCTCTGTCTACTTGCCAGGATTATGGAAAGAATTAGGGGACAATTCAGTAGCAATTCCTATTACTTAATTTTTCTTTAAAGTGCATTACCTCTACATCACCTGGAGTCCTGGGCCCTGAGATTTAGGCATCTGCTTCTGCTGGTGGCAGAGGTTCACCTGGAACAAACACCAGTTTGGAGGCTGGTGTCCTCCTGCACAGTGCTTTGATAAGGTTTGGGGGCTCAGTACAGCTGGGTGAAATGCAATGGCTATGAAATTCAGACCAGCCTATAGGGTTTTTCCTGGTTTAGCTATTGAATGAAGGAATTACCTTCTTCAGAGGAGATATACATCCTTGTGGAGGATCAACTGGCCATGAGGGTACTGGTCAAGGGTGCAGTGGTTCGTGCTGTCAGGTCATAAGCAACTTTGACCATGAAGGAGTTGCACCATGTGCAACTGGAGAGGGGATTGTAGGAAAATGGGACATTATTACATGGCCTAGAATTTAATCGGTGCTTTTTCCTCCAGGTTGATGTGGTACTTTAGTGGTCACATCACTGCCTCCACAAAACTGTACTAGCTCCTGCCTCTCCTTTCACAGATGCCAGGTGTGCATTGGTATAACTGGTCCAACCTCAGCAGAGCTGATGCCGATGCACACAAGAACACTCATATCCAGGTTTCCAGTTCTCCCACTACGTCTTCCCCTCAAGGTCTCTTGTTCATGTCATGTGGAATGGCAGAAGTTCAGGTGTGGATCAGAGAGACTTTGAAATGGAAAATCAGAGGATACCGCAGGTCACACTGAAGAAGAGCTGGCAAAGTTTAGGATCGGGATAGCAGAGAGCGGTGAGGCTTAGGACCAAGGTACATCAGTTGGGTGCTGAGTTTGGAGCTCCAGAGAGATGTGCAAGCCAAGAATAATGAATACTGGCAGAGCTCCACGTGAGTAACAAACTGCTTATCCTGCCTAGGCTAATGACAAAACGTTAGGTACTGGCATTTTTTTTTTAAGTATTTTTTTAAAGAAAGATTAAAGCAACCACTATAGCTAAACACTCTGCTTTGCTCTGATAAGATGCCAGAACTCTATGACTTCTGCTGTGCAACATGGTTCTCTCGTGTGGGTGTAGCAGCCCCTCCCCATGCCCAGCAGATACACTCGAGGGAATTTTTGCAAGTGTGAATATTGGCTCTTGGAAGGTCATTCAGTAAAGACAGCTGATCATGTGGCATGAAGAAACTGCATGTGTCGCGTGTGCTTCCAAGCGGCCACCAGAAAACTATTGCACAAAAAGGTGATCACGGCTACCGCGCGCGTAGCCATGACCAGAGGACCTTGTGTGCAAATTATTCTGTAAAACACTGGGTCTCTGCCCTGCCGTGTTGCTCTGAAAGCTCATGCCGATCCTTTAGGAATGAAGGATTGGAAGCCCGTGCGGGTGAGGCCATTGCACGGGACACGTCTGTCACTCCGCAGGTGGACAGAGGCTTGACGCCGCTCACCGCCACGGCCAGGGCTACGTGAGCACCGCTTGTTTTCATTACACCGCCACAGATCGGTCTCTCTCCTGCCCCTGTGGCCACGGCGGTGGCGGCGGGATCCGCGCTCCACCGGCTGCTCCGTGGGGTTTGGATCCCGAGTGGGGAGCCGCGAGCGGAGGCCGCGGGAGCCGGGCGCTCGCTCCCGCAGGAGCCAGGGAAGCTGGCGGCATCTGTGCTGCCCAGGGCAACCTGCTGCCGCCGCCGGGGGCTGCTCCCAAGTGCCGGTGCCCGGGGGAGTCCGGGCGGCTCACGGCGCCTCAGCCCCGGGCACCGGCCCCGTGCGGGGGCAGCGGGAGCTCCGGCGCACAGCGGCCGGGAGGCCCTCCTGGGACGGGGGGCAGCGGGACGCGACGGGACGGCCCGGGCGCTGCCGCGGCGGGACGAGGCCCGCTCCGCTCCGCTCCGCCCGGGGCAACCTGCGCTGCCCGCCTCAGCGCCCCGGGCGGCAGCGAGGGGGGGGGCGGCTGGCGAGGAGCCGCGCCGCGCTCCCATTGGCTGCACCGCAGCGGCGGCCGCGCTGCCATAGGCGGACGCCGCGGTCACTCCGTGTCGGCGCCGCCCCCCGCGGGCTTTATAACGGGCATCCCCATGGCCGGGCCGCCTGACGTGCCGCGGCGGGAGGCGCAGCGCCGGCCCGGGGCACCGCGCGCGCCGCCCG